TTTTTTTTTTTTTTATTTTTTTTTTGTATGCGTGTGTAAAGTAATCATAATATCAGGAATGATGATGTGATTATTGGGAGATGTTCTCAATACACAGGATATATGATATTGATCATTGTGGGGGACGATCTTGTAGAGGGCTGACTTGACCCTTTTCCGCCCTGCTTTGACTGCTTTCCGCCCCACAGTTGTCATACGTGCACATCTGCAAACATTAGTAATATTTTCTATAATTGTCATTGAAAGGTATTTCCAACAAAGGATAGAGATGTGCTGTGGGCACACTTTGTGGGGTGTCAATGTAGATTTTTATCAAAACAATTAGGAGTAATATAACTGGAATTCAGATCCCAACCCCCTGCCAATATGATCGAATACTATATATCTCATACATGATGGATTCCAGTCTCATGGTGAGAGATGTATAGAATGTTAGAACGCAAGAAATCCCAACTAGTTTGACTGAAATCAGGCTTAGCACCTATATTAAGAAGGGCTTTGGTCTGGTCCCGGGCTTGAACCTAGTATTAAAATATAAGCCCAGGCCGTGGTTGAAGCTAGTTCTGGGCCTATGACTTTTTCTTTTGGTATTTAATCGTGCACCCGAATCCCAATAAATAAAAATATAAAAGTACAAATACTCCAAAGTAGGTGATAGCAGAAATCGAATCCGCATATCAATCAAACAAACCAGCTAACCTACCAACCGAGTCATCCCACAATTAGCGGCCTATAACTCTTTTAATACATTATAAATGCCATATGTCCAAATAAAGACAAATAAGGATAAGAGTGTAAATCTCCACCTTTTTCTAAAAAAAAGAAAAATATAATACATTTAAATTTTGATTTTTCAGTGTACTTTAAATGTCTTGAATCAATACTTAAATTTAAGGATTAAAATATTTAGACAAATAAAAGATATATAATATTTTATATTATATGATATACAATATGTGTATAAAATAAATGATGGACTTTTTATAATAAAAAATGTTATATATAATAAATGATCAGCCCTAGGAGCAGGTGCTATTTGCTAGAGAAAACTTTGGCTGTTCATGCTCAACAGCTTGGGCGGTCAATAAGTCTCTCCTTGCTGACATGTTAGTTCATCCAGCGCTGACCTGGTTATAATCATTGTGAAGTAACATGTCATTTTATAGTGGGATATATAAAACAATATTTTGAGAACCGAGAGGAAGAGATTGCTGGTCATCTATTGTCAAATTACGGGGTCGGAAATGGGTCTGGCCTGACCCTGTCCAAGACTCACCCAAACAACAATTGGTATCTTTATTACATTAGCTAAAGCTTATTTGTTHCTGTTCATTCCTATCGCAACAAGATGGACTTTACCTAGAATGCGAATGGACCAACTATTAAATCTTGGGTGGAAATTTCTTTTACCCATTTCTCTAGGTAATCTATTATTGACAACTTCTTCCCAACTCCTTTCACTGTAAAGGAATACTATATTTATATTTATGTTATTTTAGGTTCATAACTTCTCTCAAACAAGAGCAAGAGAAAGAAACATCAAATTCTTTTATTCATAGATATTCACAATATGCTACCACACCTTCCTTGCTTGACAGGGGATACCTACATGATTGAGTGTGGTTGGTTATGTACTTAGGTCCCATTTGGTTTGCGGGAACAAGGGATCTGGAATTGGAATTGGAATGGGTTATTCTGATTTTAATTGTTTGGTTGGGTGGAATTAAATCCTATTTCCATTCTTGTTGAAATGACACTCCTCCCATTTGAGGGAATGGTCATTCCCTGCCCTTCTCTTGGGAATAAAATCCTATTCTTATTGATTTCAATTTCCATTTCTATTCCTGTCTGAATCAAACATACCATGGAAATAGATCATTCCGATTCTGATTCTAAAAACGAAACAAAGGACCCTTAGATAAATAGCTTATCCAGTATTTATTTCTTTATCACACAAGATAAAGTTTTTTGGTTGATAAGTTCTATTGGTTAGTTACATGAGATACTGAACTATTATTGATTTTAAAATGCAGGTAACATGTCAGTAATATGGAATGGGAGAACCCCCAGGCTAAATATTATGGACCCAGAACTAGTAAAGGATATTCTTTCTAACAAGTTTGGACATTTTGAGAAACCCAATTTCAACCCACTGACCAGTTTGTTAGCAAGAGGGCTTGCAAAGCAAGAAGGAGAGAAATGGGCCAAGCACCGAAGGATCATCAACCCTGCATTCCATATGGAGAAGTTAAAGGTGTCTTCTTAATTCTCTTTTCAATTTCCTTTAAACCTATTTAATCAGATTCATCTAGAATTCAAGGGTTTCAGACTTTCAGGTATTAATTAGCAGTTTATAAATATAGATGTTACACACATAAGGCTGCGCTTCGTTACAGTGCAATTTTATCTGCAGTAGTTAGTACAAATGCATGGGAGTACAAATGAAAAAAATGTACATTCTTATTTAATTTTGTTTTGGGTTTTACTTTATTCTGCTTTATGTCTTAATTTATTTTATTTATATTGTGATCAAACAAATAAGTTAACGTTTGAAATAGAATTAGGTCAGGATTTACACTTAAATCATTTGCACTGTCATGGTTTTACATCAATGCAAATCTATTTGCATTGTGACCAAACACAGCATAAAGGACGAAATGCACTACAAAATGGTGGTTGATTTCCACTAAATTTCCCGAAAGCTATGTTTGGTTTGAGGTAAAGGTAGGGTCGTAGGGAAAGGAAGGGAAAGACACGGAAACTTATATAATTCCCTGTCTTTCCCTTCCTTTTCCTACATTTTCCTTCAAACCAAGCATAACCTAAGGAAAAATTTATGATACGGGATGGTAATGGAAGAGCATTGACCAATCAAAGCACTCCATGAGTATTGATGAATACCACCTGATTGATCACCTCTTTCATGATAATGGTTGATTGACAATAAAATTTTCAGGTATCATGTCTTTTCGGTATCATAGTCGAACCCTTTATTATAACATTTTCTTTTCTGGGTTGTTGTATGTAATAGAGGATGCTTCCAGCATTTTATACAAGCTGCTCTGAGATGATCACAAGATGGGAGAAACTGGTTGCCATGGAAGGTTGCTGTGAATTGGATGTATGGCCTGAGCTCCAAAATTTAACGGGAGATGTCATCTCTAGGACAGCATTTGGCAGTAGCTACGATGAAGGCAGGCGAATATTTCAACTTCAAAATGAACAAGCTGCCCTTGTAATCCAGTCTATGTTGTCCATATATATACCAGGTTGCAGGTAGGAAGAAAATGTTCCTATTGTCTTCACCTTGTTCTTTCAATGATCCAACAACTCCGTTGGTTTGCAATGCAAATCTGAATTGATGCACAATTTGCACTTGGTTTAGTTTTGTATATCTGCTTGTTTGTGGCTATGATTTGCATTTTTATTTGATGCAAAATTTGCTCTGTTCTTATTCATTGGCAGTTCAAATTTTGCATCTGAGAAATTGATACCATTTAATTTCCTCCTACTTCAATTCTCTCTCATATAAAGTGGGACTAAATCATTTTCTTTCCATTTTAAACCTCCCAAACAAATAGGCTTCTTCCAACCCCCATTTTCATTCATATAAATTGGGACCACAACCTTTTACTTCTTATAGACAAACGAAACAAGGTTATATTTGAAGCAAAAGTAAACCAGGATTCACACTCAGCTCATTCGCATTCATGTCATTTACACCTGTGCAAATGAAATTCACAGTGCAAATAAACAGAGTCCAAACTCTTCTTTTTTTTTTTTAATTGATCTCTATGTTTAATGGTTTAATGTCTCTCTAATTATTATTGCTTTCCTTCCTCTACTGATTGTAGTCTTTCTCCAAGTACATTGTAATCATAGAAGAAGTTGGATAATTTTGCCCCTATAGTTTTGTTTGATTACACTGTGGATGTATTAGCAGCTTTCCAGACTGTTTCTATACTAAATTTTGAGGGATTCGTCTCTGATTTAAAGTGATCATTATTCTTGGTGCTTAGAACAATGAATAATTGCACCAGATGTGCATTTGCCCATGGGAAACAATGGAGATGTTACAGCTCCAAGGTTTGATACAGATCATCATCATCATCATCTAAGTCTTGTCCCAACTATATGGGGTCGGCTACATGTAATCTGTTTCTTTCACCATTCTGTTCTGTTCAGTGCCATATCCATTATTAAATTATGGGTGCTTAAATAATTTATTACTACTTTAACACAAGTTTGATCCCTTTAGTAAATATCTGCAATAATATAATGTTGTTGTGCAGGTTATTACCAACAAAAAGGAATAAAAGAATGAAGGAAATTGACAGAGAAGTGCGAAGCCTCCTAAGAGGAATCATCAATAAGAGAGAAAAGGCTATAAGGTTAGGGGAGGCCAGTGATGATGATTTACTAGGCTTGCTTCTAGAATCCAATTTTAAGGAGATTCATGAACATGGCAGTGGTAAGAACCTTGGATTGAGCATTGAAGAAGTGATAGAGGAATGCAAGCTATTTTACTTTGCAGGACAAGAGACAACAGCAAATTTGCTTGTGTGGACCATGGTTGTGCTGAGTATGCATCCAGAGTGGCAAATCCGTGCAAGGGAAGAAGTATTACAAGCCTTTGGAAAAAATAAGCCGGATTTTGATGGTCTAAACCACTTAAAAATTGTAAGTAATTTCTCTAGAAAGTATTAATGCAAATACGCTTCAGTATATGAATCACTCATTTCATATCGATGCAATATAAGTAAGTAGAACTCTTAATTATAATTTTCTGTTAATGCAGGTAACCATGGTCTTGTATGAAGTTCTTAGGTTATATCCACCAATATTTATCATAACCAGATATACTTATAAGAAGATGAAACTAGGAGATGTCTATTTGCCTCCTGGAGTACAACTCTTGTTGCCCACGATTCTTGTCCATCATAGTAAACAACTTTGGGGTGAAGATGCACAAGAATTCAAACCAGAGAGATTTTCAGGAGGAGTTTCAAAGGCAACAAAGAATCAAGTCTCATTCTTCCCATTTGGTTGGGGTCCTCGGATATGCATAGGCCAGAACTTTGCTATGATGGAAGCAAAGATGGCATTGACCTTGATTTTACAACATTTTTCGTTTGAGCTCTCTCCCTCATATGCTCATGCCCCTTACACTGTCATAACTATTCAGCCTCAATATGGTGCCCAAATCATCTTACATAAGTTATGATATTTTTCACTGTAATGTTGATACCTGCAAGTTCTTCACCCCATTCTGAATCATCTTAGGAAAGAATCAGAACAAAATAAAATTGGCATATTAGTTTGGATGGTTTCGGTCTATCTTATTTATGCATTGATTAATTAGGAACTCCCATTGACCAAGATGCATGATTGAACTGCTGACCAACTGAGGGGGAAAGAGCTCAAGCTCCATGTGGCAAATTTATAATACCCTTCCACCATGTGAAAAATAAGCTATATATATATATATATATATATTTCTGTTTTAAAATGTGTCTTTGAGAAAACATCTAAATGAAGACAACAAAGTGAAGACTTGGGATTGAGTCCAAGG